AAAAAAAAAACAAACTAAAAGTTGGTTTTTAACCGACTTCCAAAAAAGGAGGAGGTTATCAGTTCGACGGAATATTTTTTTATTTTATTTATTTATTTTTGTATGTATGTTACCGCATAACTTTGGACCACGTCAACCGATTTCGATAATTCTTTTTGCATCGGAAAGGTGTCTCAGAGGTGGTCCCATACTAATCTGGTTAAGATCCGATCAGTGGATCATGAGATATATATATATACATATATATATTTTGTTTTATATGAGAGTTGAAGTCGGCTTTTTTTTTGCTAAAAATTACTTGTTTTTATCAACTCATAATTTTTCACTGCAGGATATTTCTATGTAGGTATGTATGCAATTGCTGAAATGTCTCCACCAATTTTTAATAGTTTCATTTAATTTCCAATTAATTTGTAGAGTGGTTATGCGGTGTGCTTATTTATATGTATGTATGTATATTTGTGTTGAGATTTCGTTGTGTGACTTTTTGTGAGCGATGAGTAAATGGAGAAAGTTTACAAATATTCGACTGATGTCTTTATGCGCATGCGTGCAATTTAAACGTTGGAGGAGTGCACCAACAACAACACACATTGGTGAGTGTCAGTTGGCAGTGGCTAATGTTGAGATCGAGCGTTGAGTACTCGCAGTGCCGGTACTGGGTTTGCCCATGCGCATGTAAACACATAAACCCACATAGCCATTTATTTACCACGCATCTGTATGTAAGCAAGTATGCAAGTATGTATGTATATATTATATGTATATAGTACGTACTGTGTATGACTGTGCTTTCTTTAAGTTGACCATTTAACTTGAAGATCAAGTAGTTTTCGTATACGAGTTACTCAGTAAAATATTTGTATGTGCATATGCATGTGTGAGGTGATGAAGGTATTAAATTTTTTAAACTTCGATTTGTAGGCAAGTGGGATTTTCAGTCGAACTTTTATGCAGGCCGTGAGTGGACGCACAACTTTATGAACTGTGTTTGCAATAAATAAGCGATAATAATAATTTGTTTAAAAATAAGACAAATAAATAAACAAATATTTTTAAAATAAAGAAGTGCTGTATGTGTAACACCAAAAAAAAAAACAACAACACTCTGTTTAAATCAAATACAAGCATAAATGCTTTTCTACTTAAAAGTGTAAACATTAAAATGAAAACGAGAGTCGAACGAAAACGAAAACAGTGTGACAATGAGTTCTTGAAGCGCGCCGACGCGGCTCGTCATACTAATGACGGTTATATTATTGTCATTGAACACTTTCGATTGCAACGCATTGCTAAGTGCTTGATGGTGGCAATCATTTTGAACTTGGCCAATTTGGTGTTAGGCAATGTAACCATAAATGGCGTACCAACATCGTCTTCGCTAAAATATGCGAATGAATCATACGTTGGACTGACGAAGTCCGCGGTTTCGCTGGAAAATGTTTCGCCATTAGTGTGGTGGGAATTTCTAGAGGATTATGTTTTGAGGTAATCTTATTGTCGAAATTCCGCATACAAAAATGTGTAGTGACAGAGGAAGTAACATTTTTTTTTTATGGGACATGTTGTGTTTCGTTAGTAATTACATTGTTTGCGGAAATTAATATTGAAATATCACACGTAGTATTAGAAATAAAAACAAACTTAATTATGTCACGTTTTCATAATAGTAAAATCGAAATCATAAAATAATTGGTCTCAATTAAAGTACCAGGGTTGCCGAGATTTACTCGTAGTGCATATAATTTTTAAAGCTTTTGAAAATTAAATAAGATATCAAGGTTTGGGTATCAAATAATGGTCATATAAATAACTTTATTTTGTAAACTTAATTTATTATTTCATCATTACGATATATCGTCGCTACCATGCCAAACTATCGAATATGAAAATAGGTGTTTTTAAGAAGAATAAACAAACTGTTGTAAAAAATGTTGTTGTCATTAGGAAAAAGTGTGGCATTCGACACTTTGGTAAAGCCAGAATCCTCTGCTTTGCCAATTTGCGCAAGCATTTTCGCACATTCGATAATTTGACATGGTAGCGACGATATGTACACACATATGAGCCGTTTTTTTTTTTTTTGAAAGTGGCATAAGTCCCTTTGTTTTTAAATCAATGTATGTAAGGGTTTGCGTTGCAGCACATTTAAAAATATTGATGCTAACTTTCGAAAAAAATTGTTTGTATTTGTTATTTGAGGATACGTATATTTTTCTTAGTATAAATAATTTCGTATAGTCATGGAAAAATCACTACTTTTCATTGCAGTAAATTGACTTATGCCACTTTCAAAATATATAGCTTAGAAAAATTACTGACTTAAGTATATCAATTTTCTCTATTGTATTTTACTCAACTGATATTTTGAAAGGACAGTGATTTACTAAAATTGATTAATAAATTACATATATGTATGTATTTATATAATAGTCTTATTACTTTAAACGAGCAATTCGTGTATATATACATATATATAAATACATATACATATGTTTCACCAGAGAATATGTGCATAAGGAATACTGTGCAAAAATCTTCCACGCCTATATTAAATTACTTCTAAATAATAAGACTTTTAAATAAAGCGTGCGATTAGACGTGTTGGCTGATGGTGTATGGTGCTACGGGTGTATACGTTACATACACAACTACGGGTATACATATGAGCACGAGTGATTATTTTTTAACCGACTTCCAAAAAAGGAGGAGGTTATCAGTTCGTCGGAATATTTTTAATTTTATTTTTTTTTATGTATGTTACCGCATAACTTTGGACCACGTCAACCGATTTGCAAGGGAAAAGTAGTGTCTCAGAGGTGGTCCAATACTAATTTGGTTTAGATCCGATCATTGAATCATGAAATATATAGATATATATATATATTTTTTTAAGTCGGTTTTTTTCTTGCTAAAAATTACTTGTACTTTTATAGTATATCTTTTCTAAGTTTTAATTGAAAACCAATTTCGCGATGGAATCTTGTTCTTTACGCAAACTGAAGAAAATGCATTGTCTAAGATAAGTGTGCCACCATTTTCGGCCTAAAAGACGTTTTTGCCGAAAAATGTAACAACTCGTGAGAATTGTTCACAAACATAGTAAATATTTAATTTTGATAAACTCAAGATCGGAGCGTTTTTAAAAGATACTAGAAGTGTTCGGCTTGAAAAAAGAGTGAAATACTCCGATCGGAGTGAAAACGGCAACGCTGATATACTCCCATAGTAAAAATCAGAGATGCTCAACAATCTATCTGTTCAGGGCGATGTCAAAGCGCTCCAGAACTACAGAGTTTCCCTGAGACTAATAGCAGTTCGTGCTGCAACAATTCTTTATGCAATATACGCAAGAGCCGTGTTCAACATGACGTTAAGCGCCAGTGTAGGTGTGGTTCCTAATGCTCCAATAATTCCGATTGGGTCGATCCGGTGTAAACGCTCCAGTTTTACAGGTGCAGCCTTCTCTAGTGAGTTCTACCAGACAAGTGCTCCGTGAAAAAAGATGGGCTTAAATCTGGTTTCATAGACTTCACTACAGCTTCCTTTCCAGGATCAAGCCTAAGTACTTGCCCCTGTCTAAGAGCCGCAGACGAAACCCCACAATCGAGGGAAGGCCACAACGGGTACCTTGTACTTCCTGGTAAACAAGACCAGTTCCGACTTGCTCAATCGTAAGTTCTAGCTACCTCAAACTTGCACTTAGTTATACTAAAATTGAATGGAATAAAAAACTGCATACTCAACTTTTTTCTAAAGAGCGTAAATAAAAAGTGCAATATTTGAATGCAATTTTGCAGAATTTTCTTTAATTTTGCACAAGGTTTGGAACTCTGATTTTTGGGTTTTTTGTTGTAGAATTAACCATATTTTTATAAATAATTATCGAAAAATAAAATATTTAAAAAATAGTTGCCCGTATTTTAAAAAATTCGCTATACCTAAACTTTATTGACTGACTGTAAGCTAACGGTCCTTACAGTCCTTTTAATTATTTGGATGCAGATCTCTTAAGTTTACATGCTTTTGTCATATCAAAGTATAATTATAAGTAGTTGCATATCGCACACCGTCTTCAAAAGGGGCACAACTCCAAATTAAAAGTTTGTCAGAAACTGCGAAAGACTATTTCATATCACATGATTATCATTTGGACAAAAAAGAGACTACCCTAGTTGTTTTTTTTTGACAAATTATTACCAGCTTTTGCTGAAAGGTCTGTGTACATTTTTAGCGCATAATTTAAAAAATGTCAAATTTCGAGTTGTGCCTCTTTTGAAGACGGTGTGCGATATGTCTGTATGTTGTATGTATGTACATATGTACTTTTTTATAAAAGACGCTATTTTTGTCCAGTATCTAATAATCTATCCGTTGTCCATAAGACACTACAATGGCTAACGTTTTTATATATTTTTTTCCGAAACCGTCCTTCCTCTTAACCTTTTACAGCCAATCTAGTCCCAGTGTCCGCTCGTCAAAAGATCTTCCATTCATTCCTAGCCAAAACGATATGTCTATGATGGGCCCGAATATGCAAGGTCCGTTATCCTATCATTCTTCGGCGTACAAGCGTCCAAATGTATATACTATAACAAAACGTATTGGTGAAGCAGTCGAGTTGGAGCCACATATGCGTCCACCCGTTCAAGTAGTGAATCCACAATTTCGACCGATGACCAACCAAATGATACAACAACAACAATTACAGGAACAACAGCAAATGCAACAACGTCAACAACCGGGATTTTTTCAACAACTATTCGGGTTGGGCGGTGGTGGCAGCAGCAGCAATAGCCAGCCAGCGCCACAACCTGTTCGACCAGTGCATGTGCAACAACATCACCCGCCACCCGCGATACAACACACCGGTCCACAGCCACCATTTCGGGCTGTAACCGAAAACGATTTATATCTGTTGGGTGCCATAGAGAAGCTCGTGTATCGGGTCGATTACTTGGAGAGTCGCATACGACGCGCCGAGCAACTGATCTACTACTTGATGGCTGGAAATAATCAGAAAGAAGGTGATTAACATATCATGTACATATGAGACTATGTAGTAATATAATTATAATTTCAGTACGTGATCCTTGCCCATCAAATTTCACCCGCATCAGCGATAATTGCTATTACATCAACAGCCATCAGCAGGTGAACTGGAAGACCGCGAACTCAGCTTGCAAGGCGCTTAATTCTCATCTCGCTGAATTCGAGAAGGTATCGGAAAACGAGGAGATAATGGCGTATTTACTAAATCAGCCACAGCACCGTGGACGTGATTATTGGTTGGGTGGATTGAATCCTGGTTTACTTTGGATTTGGTCTAATTCAGCAAAACCAGTCAATCCAAATATGAACCTCACATCTATCGCTATGTCACATGCGAACAATACAGAGAGTAACGCGATCGATGTAGATGGCGATGATAAGGATGAAAAGGACGAAGATCCGTCCGCCAACGAAACCATACTGAACAATACCGTCGAGATTGAGGGTCAAGGTCGTTGCTTACGCCTCTCCTATAATCCAACAAAGCACATTTACAATTACTATGGTCAAGAGTGCACGTCAAGGCATTATTATATTTGCGAAACCGAGGATAAGACGCTCGATAATAAGATTAAGAAGATAACACGTGAATTGAAGCTTTTCGATTGACGAAAGTTGTTTGTTGTTAAGAGCGAAAGAAAACCCTTGTCATTTTCGCGGTTTATAAACAAAAACTTCAGCTCTTTCTCGAATCATTTGAACTATACCGTTGATTATGAATTTAATTCTGAGTGTTCAATATCAGCATTTTTAGTTAATAGCATTTTATACTTACACCTACTAATTTATTCATAACTTTACGAAATAGGCAATAATTAATTAAAAAACTAAAAGTATTTATCAATCTGATTTAGATCGGTTTCATTTTAATTTGAAATTCTTTAGTACAAATTCTTAAAACAATGATCTTTTTAAATTTTCGAAATTACAATTCCGCGCCAACAAATTATAGCTCTGATCCAGTGCTCCATGAACTTACAGGTTTTTACACGAACTTGCAGGAAGTTACAGGAAAAATGATCCCGTACTCCAAATTCCTCCAAAATCCTGTAAATGAGAACGGTTTTTGGAGAGTTGTGTAGAGAATGAAGTTGCAAGATTTTACCCGGACTTTTTCTTCTGGTAAAATCATGAAAAGTGTCAAGTGATCACTGGTTCACGTTTTTACAGGAAAAATGCTTTTTTTGTTCCCGTACTTTTTGTTGTTACTCACTTTTTACTCTCACTTCAGAGAGTAATTTTGCTGTTTAACATTTTTACAGGATTTTGCTTGTTCCACCAACAACTCCAGTTCTCGCACCAAATCATTTAAGGCAGTCTGCGTATAAAGTATTACATGGCAGTTAGATTTCCTATGAGAAATTGAATCGGGAGACCTGTGATAAGGATTTCTCATTTTGATGAATGCAATAAATTAACTCAAGTCCGGCGATGGGCACCGCCTTGCCCGCGGGCAAAGCTCTTTTGAGCTTTCTACACATTTTGTATGGGCGCGTGCAAAGTAAAAGCTCTCTCTGCGCATCGCTGCTCCAGTCAAATCCGGTAGCTTTTGAAGCGGCAACCACAGTATACTAGGAATGGAAAAATCGTTTCCGATTCCACTTGCAGAATCGAAGATTTTCTCGAAATAATCGATTTTAGAGAACCGATTCTAAATTTGCGCCTGTGTGTAAAAATTGAGATATCTTAAAGTGTGTTTGCATTGTTCAACTTTGCGTTCAACATTTGCGTTCAACTCAGCGCAGGGTTGCACGAAACAAAAGTTGAATGGCTAAAAATATCAAAATATGAAAAAATATCAAAATATTCGCCATAAAAAGGTGTTTGCATTGTTCAACTTTGCATTCAACTTTTGGTTGAATGGCCTTTCAACTAATCGCTTTCAACAAAGTTGGTCGCCAGCCAACATTTAGCCATTCAACTTTTTTTTCGTGCAACCCTGCGTTGAGTTGAACGCAATTGTTGAACGCAAAGTTGAATAATGCAAACACTGCTTTAACTAAACTTGGTCCGTGCACTTCTTTCGCGCGAGGACGAATGGTATTGACAATGGGCAAAATCTGACTGTAACCACGCCCACTTCCCATATTACGTTAATTTTCATAAATACGAAAACTGCGATATTTTAGTAACTACTGAAGATAATTTACTCAATATTGATATTTACATTGGGCCGTATGAATAAAAAATTAGCAATTGCTTTTTCTTGAAATTTCTAACACTTTACTCGATTTATTCAAACAAAATTGAAGTAAAAGGTATGCAATTTTAAGAAAACGCAATTGCTTTGTTTTTATTAATTCGGCCCATTAAGTTTTAGACGAAAAATAAGAATATTATAAATTTTTGGAAAATGGGCGTAGCCATGCCTATGGGATTTGCCACGCCATCTTTTACAAACTCATTTATATTTATCTTTATATAAGCACCTACCATAGCTATACCCGCACACCAAATTTAAAGTTCGTGCAACATATGGTTCCGAAGTTATACCTGATAAAAAATTCTACGCCTATGGGATGTCCCACGCCCCCTTTTACAAACTCGTTTATATATACCCTCCTACAAGCACCTACCATTGAATGTCTGCATACCAAATTTCAAGTTCGTGTGACTTGTGGTTCCGAAGTTATAGCTGATGAAAAATTCCACGCCTATGAGATGCGCCACGCCCCCTTTTATAAACTGATTTATATAGACCTTATTATAAGCACCTACCTAATATGTATATGACTGCATACCAAATTTCAAGTTGATGCGACACAGTGTTCCGAAGGTATAGCTGCTAAAAATTTCAACGAATATGGAATATGGGGGGCCCTCTTTCACAAACTCGTTTATATATACCCTCATATAATCACCTACCATTGATATGTCTGCATACCAGATTTCAAGTTCGTGGAACTTATGGTTCCGAAGTTAGGGCTTATAAAATATTCCACGCCTATGGGATACGGTTGCCAGACGTACTGATTTTATCAGTACAGTACTGATTTTTCAACTCTTGTACTGATTTTATTCATTTCTTCAATCAGTACGCTATTGTCCTGATTTTTCAAAATTTGTACTGATTTGTACTGAATTTTCAACTAAAACAAAATACTTTAGGATTTTTTTAAGGCTTTTACATAACGTTGGAACTTCCTTAAACTGTACTGTAAAAAATAAGAAGAAAATAATTTAATTATAGTTGACATGTTCCAGATAATGTTTGATATGCCCAAGAAATTAATACAACAAAAAGATCAATTGTTTTATAGGCATATCGCTGGGTCGTCACGTACCACTTGCGATAATATGATGGACCTTAAATTATTCAAAAAGAATGCTGACGTTTTCTTTATCGTGTGTTGTTAGATATCTAGAAAATAACTCTCAGTTTCTTCTTCTTCTTCTTTTTTGGCGCTGTAACCGCCTAAGCGATTTTGGCCGAGTTCAGCAAAGCACGCCAGTCGTTTCTCCTCTGTGCCAACT